AGAAAGTTTATCAAGTAGAAAATAAAGATCAACTTTGTTAAATACTGCTAAGTCAAGAAGGAAGAGGGATCAGAAATGACCATTGGATGTAGTAACGTGAAGGTCACTGATAACTTTGGTGAGAGGAGTTTTGGTGCAGCAGTGGTTGGGGACAAAGCCTTATAGGTTTGTTGGAAATGAGAAGAGAGGAACTAGAAAGAGAAAGAAGAACAAAGAGCTTTGCTGCAAAGGGGAGCAAACAATTAAAGGAATACTTGTCAGAGAAATTAGGACCAACAGAAAATCTGTATCTGTTTTTTAGTAATGAGTGAAAAAATGAGAACAACCCATTCAAGATGTTGGTGACATAAGGGAGAAAGGGAGGAATTGCTAGAGCAATGTCTTTGAGTAGGCAAGGGGAGTGGCTTCTAGTGCATGAGTGGAGGCATTACATGGGGCATAGAAAATTCATCTATGCTTAATAGAAAGGAAAGCAGAGTATATGAATACAGATGCTGACTAGTGAGGAAATGGAGTGGAATCTGGAAGTTCTCCTCTTATTGCTGTAATTTTTTCAGTGAGGTAGGAAGCAAGGTGAACAGCTGAGAAGCTCACTTCACCTCTGAAGACATACATACACTGATAATGAAGGGATGGAAAAAGATATTCCATGCAAATGGAAACTACAAAAGAGCAGGAGTAGCTATACTTGTATCAGGTAAAATAGATTTCAAGACAAAAACTGGAAGAAAAGACAAAGAAGGCCATTATGTAATGATAAAGGGGCCACTTCAGCAAGAGAATATAACAACTAAAGATATATATGAACCCAATGCTAGAGCACCCAGATATATAAAGCAAGTATTATTAGAGCTAAAAAGAGAGATAGAACCCAATACAATAATAGCTGAGGACTTCTCAACGCTCCACCTTCAGCACTGGACAGATAATCCAGACTGAAAATCAACAAAGAAACATTCGACTTAATCTGTACTATAGACCAAATGGACATAATAGATATTTACAGAACATTTCACCCAACAGGTGCAGAGTACACATTCTTTTCCTCAGCACATGGAACATTATCAAGGATACAAAACAGGTACCCCAAATTAAAAAAATACTTAAATTATATTAAATATATTTTCTGACCACAATGGAGTAAAACTAGAAATCAATAACAAGAAGAATTTTGGAAAAAATATAAATGCATGAAAATTTAAAAATGTGCTCCTGAATGACCATTGAGTCATTGACAAAATTAATAAGAAAATGTAAATATTTCTTGAAACAAATGAAAATGGAAGCACAGCATATTAAAACTTGTGGGATACAGCAAAAGCAGTACTAAGAGGGACATGTACATCAATAAATGCCTACATCAAAAAAAAATAGAAAAACTTCAAATAAACAACCTAATGATGCATCTTAAAGAACTGGAAAAGCGAGGGCAAACCAAACCCAAAATTTGTAAAAGAAAAGAAATAATACAGATCAGAGCAGAAATATATGAAACAGAGACTAAAAAAATACAAAAGATCAATGAAATAAAAAGTTGGGTTTTTGAAAAGATACACTTTCAAAAAACATATGAAGAAGCCAACCATTTCCTCACCACATTAGCTGCTACCACCGTGTTCCAGCCAATCAACTCTCACCCAGATTTTCGCAACAGTCTCCTGACTTGTCTCCCTGCTTTGGCCCTGCTACAGATGTCCAATTAAAATGTAAGTCAATCATGTCCCTCCGCTGCTCCAAGCCTTCAAAAGCTTCCCATTTTATCCGGACAAAAGTCAAAGTTGTTGCCTTCTCCCCAGCTTCCTTCAGCAGCCTCACCTCTGCACCGTCCACACTACCTTCTTGTTGTCTCTCTCTCTTTCTTTCTTTTTTTTTTTTTTTTTTTAGACGGAGTCTCACTCTGTTGCCCAGGCTGCAGTGCAGTGGTGCAATCTTGGCTCACTGCAACCTCCACCTCCTGAGTTCAAGTGATTCTCCTGCCTCAGTCTCCCGAGTAGCTGGGATTACAGGCACCCACCACCACGCCCGGCTAATTTTTGTATTTTTAGTAGAGATGGGGTTTCGCCATGTTGGCCAGACTGGTCACAAACTCCTGACCTCAGGTTATCCGCCCAACTCGGCCTCCCAAATTGCTAGGATTACAGGTGTGAGCCACCGCACACAGCCTTTTGTTGTCTCTTGAACCCACCAATCATGACCTTTACACAGGAACTTTGCACATGCTTTTCCCACTATCTCATATGTTTTCTATGGCTCACCCATCCATCTTCCTCAGGTCTTTACTCAAATGTCCCACAATCAGTGTGGCTTCCTTGACCATACTACTTAAAATTGCAACTAGGGTCCTGTAAATTTCCTGTTCTCCTTCCCTGCTCTGTGTTTCTTATAGCACTTATCAGTACCTAACACACAATATATTTAATTTAATCATTCAGTTTACACTCTGTCTCTCCCCATTTGAAAGTAAGTTCCGTGTAGTCAAAGACTTGTCTATTGTTTACAATGCTTTCTTCAGTGCCTGGAACAGCCCCAGGCACATATTTTCAGAATGAATGAATAAATTTCAGAATCATACAGTGAGACCAGGACTTCTTGTGGTGTGTAGTTACTCCATAGACATGAGATGTGCCATCCACCTAAAATTTGGTTTGATTGCTGAGAGTGAGAATATCTCACATGCACCAGGAAGATACGAAAAAGTTTATTACTCACATCATGTGGCTTTCTGGGGATAGTAGGTCTGGCTCCCAAGCAGGTCCAAAAGTAGCCTCAGAGAGCAGAGAAATGATACGAAGTTCTAGTGTGATTTGGCGATGGGGCTGGGATGAGGATTCCCGTGCCCAGGGTAGGGCTTGTGCAGTTTGAACCTCCTGCTAGTGCCAAAGGAGGGAGCACCTGAACTTCCTTACCAGCTTGCCCAGATGTAGGGCTGAAGGGTCAGGCAGGGAGAGGTGGGCAGGCAAACATCAGAAATGGGGTCAGATTGTTCATTATAGGTCCTATAGCAACTAGGACTGTTTGGGCATTTCATATTCTTTGATCCTACCTGGCACCTAGCACATAAGATCTGCAAGGAATCTTACAACTCTAGGCAGACTGTCTTATTTTTCAGATGAAGAAGACTGAGCTCAGTCCCACTATGTCATTCTGTCTCTGTAGATCACACTTTGAGCTGACTCAATAGCTGGCATCCCTGTGGCAAGGCCTAGGACTGTGGGGACTTAAAAACAATCTTGCACAATTTTTTAGACTCTGACTCTCAGAACCCTTTTCTGTAAAATTCTTGTAATATCTACTGTACACTTTGTCAGACTAAGGGATTCAGTGAAAGAATGTTAATAATGTGCCATCACATGACCATACTCTGTGAAGGGTCATTGCTAGGGTCAGAACATGGCGGTCTCTAGTAAAAGATCATTTGGTCTAGGGATATTTAAGAGAACACTTTTAAGTATAAAATAGCTAGGCTATAATTATTTCATTTTATACACAGTAACAGAAATGGAGACCATTGCTTTGTGTGGGTTTGATTTTTACTTTTTACAGTGAAACTTTCAAATAAACAGAAAAGTAAAAAGATTAGCATAATGAACATACCAATACTCTTACATCGGTCTAACAATTGTTAATATGTTGCCTTCTTTGTCTATTTGTTTTTGTTGTTGAACTACTTTAAAGTAAATTAAAGCTATAATGATATTTTACCCCAAAATATATCATTTTGTATCTTAAAATAAGGATATTGTCCTATATGGCTATGATGTCATGATCACACTGAACAAAAATGATGATTCCTTAATATCATTTAATATCAGTCCACATTCAAACCGTGTTAAGGCTTCAGTGGGATGTTTCGTGAGATTTTGAGTCAAATTCTCCTTTGTGGATCTGAAACTCCTCATTCCCCAATTCACTGTGCAATTAATGATTTCTTCCCTCTTTATGGGAAACAGATGGGATTAGCAAATTGTGACTGTTGCTTATTTCCCAAAAGATAAATCAGGGACATCATAATAAGGAGGAGAAAAGTAATGTTTGCAAAATTCCTTGGACAAACCTCTATCTTGCAATTATGTGTATTTGCCTTTAATTATGTATTGGAGAAATTTTGAGCATTAAACCAGTCTCAAATGAGATACTAAAGTTCTGATTGGATGTCACCATCTCCCATAATTTTCCCCAGAATGTGTGATGAAAGGGCTCCAGCCTGGGTGACAGGGGAAGACTGTGTCTCAAAAAATAAATAAATAAAAATGAAAGGCTTAAAAATAAAAGAAAGTAAGCATTGAGATAGTGGTTTCAAGTCACTAAGAGTCAAAAAGTCAAAGGGCCACTTTACTGTTTTCCTTATCTTCCAACCAAGACAGCGTCATATAGTTTATTTTTTTTATTTTTATGTTTTTGAGACAGAGTCTTGCTCTGTTGCATAGGCTGGAGTGCAGTGGCATGATCTCGGCTCACTGCAACCTGCGCCTCCCAGTTTCAAGCGATTCTCCTGCCTCAGCCTCCTGAGTAGCTGGGATTAGAGTCGCCTGCCACCACGTCTGGCTAATTTTTTTATTTTTAGTAGAGACAGGGTTTTGCCATGTTGGCCAGGCTGGTCTTGAACTTCTGACCTCAGGAGATCCACCCACCTCGACCTCCCAAAGTGCTGGGATTATAGGTATGAGCCACTGCACCCAGCCAGCTTTGTATGTTTTAGAGAACCAAAACCAGGGATAGCCCCAAAGAGGGAATGATGCTTCATTATTGTCACATCTTGAATAAGAGGGTGGAGAAATGGGCACACATATGAAGGAGAGTTAAGTACTTGAGCACAAAATTGTATCTACTTCCCTCAGCTCCTCATTTTGTTTTGCATGGGAATTCTCTATCAGAGAAGTTGGAGAGCTTTAAAGATTTTGACTTTTCAGTTGAGATTATGCCAATTCTTTGTAATTTTGTTTTCCACTTTAGCTCTTTTTTCCAAAATGATTCTTTTCTTTTCTTTTTTTTAATTGTAGGCTTTGCACTTCTGGGAGGACACCCTTGTTTTCTTACCACACAAGATATTCATTTGGGTGTGAATGAAAGTCTCACGGACACGGCCCGGTTTGTAAATATTTTCTTCTCTCCAAAGCCGATTTCAGAATCTGATGGATAAATTTCAGAAAGAAAACATGCTTCTCTTTAAATAATGGTTTTTCCCTCTGATTGTTCTGTTCTCCATTTTCCCTCTTTCCCTGATATTCGGAATGCCTCTCCCTCATCCTATGGTGGCCACTTTCCATGGGTTGAAATAATTTTTCTTGGCAATTTTTTGAAGAAGCTTCTGATCATAAAATTTCAAACTTATGGAAATATTGAGTTCATCAAGTATGACTCTTAGATTTAACAGTTGAGGAGGAAATGAAGGTCCAGGGAAACTGACGTTCAGTGACTCATAACCAGTTACTATCAGACTAGGTAATCACATTGATAACTATTAATAACATTTATTGAGCATTTATTATGTGCCAGGTATTTTTCTAACTTGTTTAATCCTTATAACAACCCAAACAGATTGTCATAAAGAAGTGAAACAACTGAATTAGACACAGACTAGCTGCTGTAACACAAAATCTCAAATGTCAATGTGCTAACATAGCGCAGATGTTCCTGATTGGTAAAAGGGAAGAACAGGTTATTAATTTACGTGGGTTATTCAGGGACACTGGCTGAGAGTGGTTCTACCATCTTCAACATGTGACCTCCGAGGTCAGTTTGGGTGTTAACATCCAGCCAGGACCAAGGAGAACAGAGCATGGAGAAGGCATACTTGTTTCAAAGCCGCCTTAGCAGGGAAGCAGTGCAAACAGTTCCACTTATATTTCATTAGGAAGTACGAGTAGCTCACTCCCATCTAGATGAAGGGAGAAATGGGGAAAGACTCCTACCCACTATATTATAATGAAAGACTGAAGCATAGGCCTCCTGACTCCTCATGCAATGCTCTTACCACTACATCATGTCTGGCTAAAAAATCCAGAACAAATATCTTTGTTAAAAGTTTTGCCCTCAAAAGAGAAGACGAATGATTCTTTTCCTGAAAATGATATGCGATAAAGTTATTTATTGAGATACCGTCTGCTTTTTATGGCAACCACCCTGGTATATACTAAAAAATTCACCTCATTTGACTTGCTGAAGAGATTTCAAATAACTCATCTTTAAACCTTTTAGGTATGTTATTTCAGAGGGGACAATGAAAGTATTAAGAAGTGTGATTAGCCTCTGGATTCTAGGGACAAAAGGAATAAAGGAACATAAATTTTTTCTTTCAAATAATCTGCCACTGACTGGGATTATATTTGTCTAGTAATTCTGCTTCCACGAAAGTGAAATATACTTTATTCAAAAGCAAATATTACAAGCTGATCAAGGGATGAAGCCAGAGACATATCCAAGCAAAGTTTCAGCGGGGATCCTCCATATAGGACCAGGTGAAAGATGGTGAATGAGTCGAATGTAAAGCACTGGTTGGAAGAGGGTTCAGTGGGAGGAACAGCTGAGTATCCAAAAAAGGAGGGGAGCAGTGCAGATTGGCAGTCAGAAGGAGGTCAGGGCCCAGAAATCAGTGCAGTGGGCAGGATCCCAAGAGCAAGAGACAAACAGCCAAGCATGGGCTGAAAATTGAGGATGGGTATAAACGTGCTCTTTTCTGGGCTTGCTGTCTACACAATTCTCACTGCAAATCCTCAGAGGAGTTCTACATAGATCCTTAGCAAAACAGCCTGCTTACAGATTTTTTTTTGTTGTTACAAGTTCCAAAATGATTGGGACATTTTGAGTCCATATAATTATTATAGTTCCATTGCTACATGAATACATGGGTCCACAAAATGGAGTCCATATAATTCATTTTGATCATTTTATCTTATGCAAAACACTGAAAATAATAGCTACTCCTTAAAGAGTGTCTGCTGTGGACCTCTTGTGCTATTATCTCTAAATCTTTTAAAAAATCTTGCAAAGTAAGTATTATTGGCCTGGTTTTATAGATGAGGAAAGCATGGCTCAGAGAAGTTAATGGAGCTTAGAAGCTGACTAAGTCAGGGTTTAAATCAAGCTGTCTTTATTTTTTAAGGCTGTGTTGTTTTGATTACCCCATAATGCTTCTTCTATTCAGCCCACGAGAGGGGCAGTGAAACAAGTTATAGAAAATATTGGGCCGGGCGCGGTGGCTCATGCCTCTAATCCCAGTACTTTGGGAGGCCGAGGCAGGTAGATCATCTGAGTTCGGGAGTTCGAGACCAGCCTGACCAACATGGTGAAACCCTGTCTCTACTAAAAATACAAAAATTAGCTGGGTGTGGTGGCACATGCCTGTAATCCCAGCTACTCAGGAGGCTGAAGCAGGAGAATCGCTTGAACCCTGGAGGCGGAGGTTGCGGTGAGCCAAGATCGCACCATTGCACTCCAGCCTGGGCAAGAAGAACAAAACTCCATCTCAAAAGCAAAGAAAAAGAGAAAAGAAAACATTGACTTTCACGTCAAGAGGTCCCCATGACAACCCAGAGGTTTGATGATTCTCTAGGAGGGCTCACAGGACTCAGCATATAGTCATACTCATAGTTATGATTTATTACAATGAAAGTATACCAAGCACAATCAACAAAGGGAAAAGACAGAAGCAGGAAAATGAAAGAAGTTTCTGATTTGTGGAGACAGTGACAGATTAGGTACTGAACATATTGCATTAAAGGTTGAACCTCTGAGTGCAAATGTTCACAAGCCATTGGAGATAAAGACCTTGAGTGAAGTTGAGAGCTGAAGAAATATAAGCTCAGTGGTAAAAATGAGCTCCATGGTCTCAATGTGGGAGAATTGCAGAAGGCTGTGCCATGAGAACAGGTGCAATTAGGGAGGGGGAGGAGGAAATCCTCAAGGTACAAAGAGAAGAAGGATAGTACAATATCGGAAGAGGCTGGGATGGGAGATGGGGGATGTCAGAAAAAGGAGTAGAGTAGCTATTGTAGAAATCTGACTTTCTTCCGTGTACCTCATTACTGCTTAATCTGCCAAAATATCTGACAAACAAGATATGCTGGGACTCAGAAATTCAATAAAGCTAAATTGAAGAAGACAAGAGAAATCCACCACTTTCTACCGATGCAATTGAACAGGTGATGCAAGGAAGCGAATCTTAATGACATCTACCTTGCTGATACGCACCTTGTAACCCTCAGCAATCGCCTCCTTTGCTTTTTGTAGAAGTTTAACATTTTAAGGTGCAAAGGGATTGGAGGATGATTAAATGACATTGCTGGCCCTTTCAAATCAAAAGAATCGTGCATACCTGACACTGATTGACGGTGTTGCTTCTCCATCTGCTGGTCCAGGTGCTTTGAGGGCCTGGTCAAATAAAAAGTGCCTGCACATTGGTGAAAGAAGAGCCTGAGGGAGAATATAGTGAGTGTAGCAACAGAAAGAAAAGAAAGAAAGAAAGAAAACCGGGCCAGTCTCTTGAAAGCTGTTAAATGCAATTTCCAAAGTGTCACTTATTTGTTCAAATGATTTAATTATTCATTTATTCAGAAATAGTTATTGAATGCCTCGTTTTTCTTCCTGACATTGTTTTAGCACTGAGAATAAAATGCTGATCAAGGCTGGGCGCCGTGGCTCACGTCTGTAATCCCAGCACTTTGGGAAGCCGAGGGGTGGGGGTGGGGGGGGGGTCACCTGAGGTCAGGAGTTCGAGACCAGCCTGGCCAACACGGCAAAACCCCATCTCTACTAAAAATACAAAAATTAGCCGAGTGTGGTGGCACATGTCTGTAATCCCAGCTACTCAGGAGGCTGAGGCAGGAGAATCACCTGAACCCTGGAGGTGGAGGTTGCAGTGAGTCGAGATTGAGCCACTGCACTCCAGCCTGGGCAACAGAGCGGGACTCTGTCTCAAAGAAATAAATAAAATAAAATGCTGATCAAGTCAAACAAGATTCTTGTTGGAGTGGAAATTACATTCTGGAGCAAGGAGGCTTTTGCTAAACAAATAAATAAAGCATGAATAGATGAGCAGGTTGAAATAAGTGCTACGATGAAGCTAAAGCAGGGTTATTTGTTGGTGGGGTGGGGGCTGCCTTAGATTGGGTGGTCAGGGAAGGCCTCTCTGAGGAGGTGACAGTTAAGAGCTCAATAAAATGACAGAGCCAGGTACACAATGCTGTGGGAAGAGCGTCACAGAAAGAACTGCTGATGCATCAGCCTAAGGCAGCAACAAGCTGGATGTGTTCAGGAACAAAAGGGAAGCCATTAATATTCTAAAATCTTCAAAGAAACATATTTTAAACCTGATTTTTTAAAAAGCACCTTACAGATTGGTCCTCAGTCTCACCCACCAAAGAAAGGAAAGATAAAATCAGAACAAGGAATAAAAATCCTAAATACACATTCAAAATACAATGTATTGTACAGCAGATCTTTAGAACTTATTTATGGCTGGGTGTGGTGGCTCACGCCTGTAATCCCAGCACTTTGAGAGGCCGAGGCAGACAGATCACCTGAGGTCAGGAGTTCGAGACCAGCCTGGCCAACATGGTGAAACTCCATCTCTACTAAAAATAAGATAAAACAAAATTCCTCTCGCCCATAGTCTCAGTTACTAAGGAGGCTGAGGCAGGAGAATCGCTTGAGCCCAGGAGGTGGAGGTTGCAGTGAGTTGAGATTGTGCCACTGCACTCCAACCTGGGCAACAGAGCAAGACTCTGTTAAAAAAAAGAAAAAAAAAGCCAGTGTGGTGGCTCACGCCTGTAATCCCAGTACTTTGGGAGGCCGAGGTGGGCAGATCACAAGGTCAGGAGTTTGAGACCAGCCTGACCAACATGGTGAAACCCCATCTCTACTAAAAATAAAGTAAAATAAAATTCCGCTCACCCGTAGTCCCAGTTACTAAGGAGGCTGAGGCAGGAGAATCGCTTGAGCCCAGGAGGTGGAGGTTGCAGTGAGCCGAGATCGTGCCACTGCACTCCAGCCTGGGCAACAGAGCAAGACTCCATTAAAAAAAAAAAAAAAAGCTGGTATGGTGGCTCACGCCTGTAATCCCAGCACTTTGGGAGGCTGAGGTGGGCGGA